ACATACCACACACATGCGCGGGCGCGCGCACACACACGGAGGCTATTAGGGTATTTCTGGGAGGCTCTCCCCAAACCCGGCCATGGTGTTTGCTTGTGCGGAGGGATCATGTGATGTTAACAGACCAGGGATGGGAAGGAAGGGGTACTGTTTGATTTTTCTTTTTTTTTTTTTACATAAAAGTCCTGTGTGCAGTAGAAGTTTTTCAGCATAAAAAGGGTTGGGAAGAAGGCAGACATGGTCACTGGCCCCGGGGGAGTGCTCAGCAGTGCTCCTCTGGGCAGAAGGCCGGGGGCTTCTCGAAGGTGCTTTGCCTTGTTGCTGTTTGTCTCGCTAGTTATTTATTGAACTTAATGGGAAAGGTTTCAAGGCATTTTAACCACCTACTTTTACTGAATGAAATAAAAACATCAAAGTAGACATTTATATTGGGGGTAATTTAATGTTTATATGCTGTTTACTTTATAGCCTGGATTTCAAATAATTGCAGGGTCTCTGTGTTTATGGTGCTTTAGAAATATGACAATTAGCTCTAAAAGCGATTGCTGCCATGGACGCTGTACGGTCACTTAATTCCTTGGAAATATCCTCTCTGGATTTCTAGTGAATTCAAGGTTTATTTTTTTAAATTAAATATAATGTATTGTCAGGTTGGCCAACATACAGAGTATACAGGGTACTCTTGGCTTTGGGAGTAGAATACCATGATTCGTTGCTTATATGCAACACCCTGTGCTCATCCCAACAAGTGCCCTCCTCAATGCCTATCACCCACTTTCCCCTCTCCCCTCTTCCCTGCCCCCCATCCCCATCAGCCCTCAGGTTGTTCTCTGTATTTAAGAGTCTCTTATGCTTTGCCTCCCTCCCTCTCTGTTTGAAACTATCTTTTCCCCTTCCCCTCCCCCATGGTCTTCTGTTAAGTTTCTCAAATTCCTCTAATATACAGAATGATCACTTTCTTAGACTATCATGAAGTGCAAGCATTTTTTAAAAGTTTAAAAATAATATTAGGTTGGTGTTTTAATATTGTCTGTTTAAGGGGCGCCTGTGTGGCTCAGTCAGTTAAGTATCCAACTTCGGCTCAGGTCACACTCTCACAGTTTGGTTCGTGGGTTTGAAGCCCCACGTTGGCTGGGCCTCAGAGCCCCAGCTCAGAGCTTGCTTTGAATTCTGTATCTCTCGCTCTCTGCCCCTCCCCCACTCATACTTTCTCTTTCTCCTTCAAAAATAAACATAAAAAAATTTAAAAATATATTATCTTTTTAAAAATGACAAATGCTTTTTTAAAATGTTTATTTATTTTTGAGAGAGAGAAAGCACAAGTGGGCGAGGGGGGAGAGAGAGAGAGAGAGAAAGAGAGAGAGAGAGAGGCAGACACACAGAATCCGAAGCAGGCTCCAGGCTCTGAGCTGTCAGCGCAGAGTCCAACATGGGGCTCAAACCCATGAACTGGGAGATCATGACCTGAGCTGAAATCGGACAGTCAACCGACTGAGCCACCCAGGTGCTCCAAAAATGGCACATACTTTAGAGAAAATGTATTTTACACTGAATTCCTTCAAATAATCAATCTCTATATAAAAGTTCCTAGGAGACTTTGCTGTACCTGTTTCATACATTTAGGTATTATTTTGTGATTGTAATGGATACACAGCCTTATCTCAACCTCTCACCTAAATCTACTCCAAAATTACTGTTGTTGCCACCAAAACATATAAACTTCTAAGCAGAAGTAGTAAATTAATATCCAGATCATGAAGGCATAATTATGATGAATTTGGACCCCGGCTTTGTTGGGGTTTTTTCTATACATAATTTGGTCCAACATAGAATGGACCAAGAAAGGCGCACCCGGCCGGCTCGCTCCTTTCAACACGATTCTTGTTGGGTTCATCCATTCAGGCCCCACATTGTGTAGAGGTCACTTAAAAACTAAAATCTTTAGAATGGACCAAAAAGAAAAAAAGCTTCATGGAATCCTCAATCTACGAAGTATAGCGGCATGTAGAAGACACGCAATGGTATATGGCAAAAACATGGTGGTCACAACAGTCCTCATGTACAGTCTAAACTCTAGAATAGTCAGGACTCAAAAGTTAGATGTTTCTCGAGAGAGAGGAGGCTGTCAAAACACCTGTTTGTAGGTCTTTCAAGTTGGCGTCCCCTCGGGTATCTGTCTAGTTAGTTTGTCAGGGATGGAGAGAGGAAGTGAATAGCAGGAGCGAGCAGATACCCACTGCCCGGCAGGGGTGTGAAAGCAGCAGAGTGGCCCGCCCAGACCCAGGGGCTTCCTAGCTATTTGTATCACAGCGCCAGGCAGCAGCTGATCCAAGCAGGTGTGCTTAAATTATACTTTATGTACCATTTTTAAAAGACAGATAATTCTCTTTCATTTTAGACATATTTTATTCGGTAACAATAATTTAGATGGAAAGTGATCTTTCTGTGTCTGAAGATCTTCTTGTTCGCCAGTGGGGCTTTATCATACCTAAGTCAGAACAGCTGGTTTGTTGGGTCGTAGAGAATCTAAAAAGTGTCATTATTTGGTGAATGCTCACTCTGCACTTGATTTATAATTTGCAGCTTTTCTATGTCTTTTCCCGTTTATTCCTCTAAACAACCCTGTAGGGCAGGCATGTACGGTCCCCATCTCACAGAGGAAGAAACTGAAGGTGAGAGTTCCCAAAATAGCCTCACCGGCAAGTGGCGGGGTTGGCCTTCAAACTTACATGTGTTTGGTCGGTTGTAGGACATGCGCACTTTTTCTTCTGTATCAGCCTAGCGTGAAAAACAGAGTTTCGTCTATTCCCAGCTCTACGTCTTCTTGTCTTTCTCATTTCTCTTTCCCTTTGTTTTCCTTCCTTCTGCTTTCTTCCTTTTTCCTCTCTTGTGTTGTGTTGTAACTTGTATACCAGACCCTTACCGCCCAAGCTGCCTGGATCAAAGTATGATTTTGAAATGTTGCTCCACATTTGACGTGGAGATGCTGAGCCTGTGGACATCGGGGTCCCCATCCCCCTACCCGAATGTCGCACGTCCCTCACTTCGATCCTGGAAGATTTCGAGAGGGAGGCCCCCATCTACCCTGAAAGAGAGCCTTGGGATGCGCTCGGCTCCCTCAGCAGCTAACGTGCTCAGCAGACACCCACGCCTGCCCCGCGCAGAACCACGGTGCCCGTGTACAAAGCACCAACACAGCAGGGCCCTCCCTCCCTGCAGACGCCGAGCACACGGCCCAAGAAATTCTTCATGAATACATATCCTTGTTGTTTTCCTGGTTGCCAGGGTCATACGTGCGTTTTGCCAAAAGGTAAATTATCAGAGAATTCTAAAAATTCAAAACACCTCATAATTTTACCCCCCACCCCAGCCCAGAGAGAATCCCTGCTCAGTTTTTAAAGACCTGCTAGTGAATTCCTTCTTCAAATCAGACATTTTTCCTTCTGCTGTCTGTGCCTTGTTTAGGACACGGCCTAGCTGGAGCGTTAGGGATTAAGAAGGTTGTTGACCTCCTTTCTTCATCCCCTGCCCTTTGTTGTGAGTGCTCAGGGGGTTACACTTGAAAGACGAGCTGAGTGACTGAAACGAGGAAGGAAGGTACTGCTCCTCTAAGATGTGAACGAGCTTATTAGCAAAAAATATTCTGAATATTGTATTCAGTAGTTTATTGAGTACAGGAAATACTAGCCTTTGTGTTCCTTTCTATTTCATTTTTGACAGATAAATACCGCTTAGTTAGGACTGTGCACGTCCATTCAGGTCAAGGATTTTAAGCATGTGAATTTTATAGGCAAATGGGTATTTTGGACGAGCGTGGATTTGCATTCTGCATCCAAAGTTTACAGGAGAGGAAACCAAGAGATTTTGCCGGAGCTCTTCCTCTCTCTGGGGCCCTGAGCTGTGTTTGTGGGCTTGCTCAGCGTGTGCTCCGTACGGAGAGAGAAAGTAGCCGACAGATCCCACAGCGTCGAGGTGTGGAATCTTGACTCCAGAGTTACACTGGTAGGTTCAACTCCTGCTTCTAACATGAGCTATGTCACCTGCGTTCAGGCACATACCTTCTGGAAAGCTCCATACCCCCATTCATGAAATGGGAATGATGATAGCAGTTCCCTCGTTGGGAAGAGTTCATGAGATACTGTGCGCGGGGTAAGCACCCAATCAGTGTTAGTTCCAAGTACTAATGTTTTTATAAGGGATGGACACGTACTTCTCATTCTGTATTATAACTTAGTTTTAAAGCCCTCACGAACACATAACGACATCATTCTTCATATTGTGGCATTGTATTTACGTTACACAATAGGCTATGATTTATTTGGTTCTGGACCTTGCAGAAATGAGCACATGTGGGTCAAAGAGCCGCCTATCCTGCCCACTGTGTTCTCACGTTCAGTTCTAGAGAGGCCTGAGACCTTTGGTGTCAGACGGCTGGGTCCAAACAAGAGTGCAGTATTCTTTTAAGAGATACGGAGGAACCTTCCGACTGTCACACAGTCGTCCACGGCTGACATTTCAGGGTGCTCTCTCCTGGGTAGACTTCCAGGTTGTCAACGTAGGAAATTCCTTACCCCAGGTAGCCTCGTTTCAAAAATATCACTCTTGCTGTCAAAGCCCTCATTTCCTGCCTTGGTGCGAAGCGTCTGAATTCTTCTCTGACTTTAGCTTCTGAACATGCACATGACTGGCTTAATTAGGAAAGAAGAACGCGCCATAATTCTGCCATAAACTAGCAATAACCCAGCAGCAGGGGTCCCGGAGGACCGTTCTTATGCAAATGCTCGTGGCTCCTTGAATAAAGTGGATGACTAAGTATACTTAATGTCGTAAGAGAGATTATTAGCAGTGGGAGACACATTTGAACTTGCTGCAAGAGCCGCCTTTGTATGCGGGAAGGCGGGCACTCGGGACTTACTAGACCAGGTCTTCCTTTTATCCCGGCCGTCCCTTTCACGCTTGCACTGTCTGAATCGTGTTCCGTTGCCTGTTAATCCCTGCAGGAATGTGGCTTTGGCTACGGGGAGGATGCCCAGTGCGCGACGTGCCGGCCGCACAGGTTCAAGGAGGACTGGGGCTTTCAGAAATGCAAGCCGTGCCTGGAGTGCGCGGCGGTGAACCGCTTCCAGAAGGCTAACTGCTCCGCCACCAGCGACGCCGTCTGCGGGGACTGCCTGCCAGGGTACGTGTGACGATTTCTTTGCCTCATAATTATTGGATAGTGCTTTTAAGTATTTTTAATGTTTATTTATTTTCGAGAGAGAGAGTGCGAGCATGAGCGGGGGAGGTGCAGAGAGAGAGGATCCGAAACAAGCTCAGTGCTGTCAGCACAGAGCCCGACGCGGGGCTCAGGCTCACGAACCCCCGAGATCATGACCTGAGCCGAAGTCGGACGCTTACCTGACTGAGCCCGCAGGCGCCCCTGGATTATTTCTAATAGACTTTTCCCTTGTTCCCTCCCAAACGTGAACCCACCCCCGTGGAAACCCACACACGTTTGTCGGACGGTCATGACTTCATCTGTGCCCACCGTGTGCTGCGCGCTGTGACAGGCGCTGGTTATAAATACAGTGAATAAGCCCACTCACAAAGGATTAGTGTCACAAGAATCTAAAGAGTTTCCTATAAATCGATGAAACAGATTTATGGACAAAGGAATGAACAGGCAGTTCACAAAGAGGAAGCACGTGTGGCCCACAATCAAATGGCGACATCCGTCCTCGTTAGCCATCAGGGAAATGCAAATCACAACTATTCACTCACGTCCACGGGTATTTGTGAAGCAGCTACGAGGATTGCTTTAGGAGCCGCGAGGCCTTGTTGAGGTCGAGAGGCCAAGAACCCTGCCCGTGTGAAGCTTATGCCCTGAGAAGGGATTTAGAAAGGTCCAAACAGGAAGTGGTAAAGAGCGAGTTCTGCGGAAAGGTAGCAGAGGACGATCTCTGTGGAAGATAAAGAACCCGGAGCAGAGAAGGCGGGTGAGGCTTGCCCAGGGATCCGTAGGCAAACACTAGGAGTCTAACGCGGAACCCAGGCTCTGAGTCACTGCAGAGGCGGGGCTCTCACTGCACTTAGCGAGAACACACCCACAGATCATTAGGTTCTGACCAAATGGCACCTTGGCTCTTGCTGAGGTCAGGGAGGGAGGAAGACAGACCTGTGGGTCTGAAGGGCAGGAACAAGGCAGGAAATAGCCTTATGGGCTAAGCACGATGCTGTGCGATGACTCAGCACCTGAACCGGTGCGAAACGTAATCGCCTGACGCCAAAAACACACGCAGTAAAAGAAAAAGTAGCTCTCGGACCTCACCCAAATTCAGATCTTTTGTGCTTCGAAAGATATCGTCAAGAAAATGAAAAAGACGGCCCACGGAATCAGAGAAACTGTAAATCTTGTGTGTGATAAGGGGCCATCTTACCTAGAAAGCATCAAGAACTCTTACAACTCAGTAACGAAAAGACCAGTAACCCAGGTAAAATATGGGTAAAGGATCTGAATAGACATCTCTCCAGAGAAGGTCTACAAATCGCCAATAAGCACGTGAAAAGATGCCCAATGTCATTAGCCATCAGGGAAATGCAAATTAAGAACACACTCCAAGCCTTGCAGGATGGCTGTGACCAGAAGGGACTACAAGCGTTGGTGAGGGTGTGGAGACACTGGAAAGCCACCACACCCATCCTCTCCTTACAGAGATAGAAACTAAATTAATGGCTTCCTGCGGCTGGTGGGGGGTGGGGAGCGTGGAGAAGCGTGAGGCGGGACTACTTAACATACAGAGTTTCTTTTTTGCCGTGACGAAAATGTCTAAAATTGATCATTCTGATGGTAGCATGGCTCGGCGAGGACACGAAAGACCATTTCGTGGTACACTTCACGTGGGCGGGTCAGAAATCTGCTATTAAAAAAAAAAGTAATGGTCTACAGTCTCAGACGAAATTGACAACCTGTGAACAGCATGGCCCAGAGAGTCGACCTTGTGCGGATCTAACTGAGGAACACAAACCGAACATCTGATGCGTCTCTACTGTCCCTGCTCTGCGATTCTGAAAAAAGCGTGTGGGTGCCCATCTGCTGTCTTCCTCTTCGGGGCCGGAAGAAGAGGTCCAGGGGAGACTCAGGCAGAGAGCGCAGGGGAGCATAGGACCCAGGGGCTCGCGGTTTACAAGGAGGGAGCGCGCAGGGACCTGCTGCTAGCGTGTGGGACGGGGCACGTCCCCCCAGGACCTCTCCAGAAGTGCTTCCTCACGCTGAGCCTCACTGGCTGTCATCTGAGCCCACTGGCTTAGCTTCTGCAATGTTTGCTCATTCGTTCAGTAAATGCTTAGATGTGGGAAAGTCAGATACAAGAGAGCAGACACTTGAATGATGTTTCATAGTTTATTTATACGATTAGTTTAAAATTACATCCTTTCTAAGCCAGCATGACTGTATGAGACAGGCAGTAATTATACAGTGACTTTTACCCAGGCTTTCCAGAGTGTTTCAAAGTGCTCACCCAGGTTGACTATATTTGTGTGAAGCAGGTAAATCGTTGGGGCCCATTTTCTAGATAGGAAAACTGAGGCTGAAAGAAAATAAGCGAATTGCACATTGCTCTCGGAAAAATGATGCCGGGGCGCCTGGGTGGCTCAGCCGGTTAGGCGTCCAGCTTCGGCTCCCGTTGTGATCTCTTGGCTTGTGAGTTCAAGCCCCGAATCCAGCTCTCTGCTGTCAGCGCAGAGCCCGCTTCAGATCCTCTGTCCCCTTCTCTCTGCACCTCCCCTACTCTCTCTCTCAAAATAAATAAGCATTAAAAAAAAGAAAAATGATGCCAAATCAGGCAGAGGGTGGGCGTTTTGACTTCGGCACTACTCCCGCCTCCTGAAACCTCAGCCCCACTCAGCTCAGGCCTCGGCTGCCTTCAGGCGCAGCCCCAGCCGGACAAGCCGCCGGTCCCCCAGTGGCAGCGCGGTGTGGAAACGGTCTGTCCTCCGTGCCTCCTGTGAGCGACTGGAGCGTCCGTCCCCTTGTCCCCAAATATGTTCAACGGCTTTCGGCCAGCTCCTGTTTCTCTGACACCTGTTCTTCTCACCTGTACGTTATGCTCGGATAATACCAACCTGCAGAAGTGCGGGAAGGCCTGAGAATACAGTGCATGCAAAGCGCCGAGTCTGTAGTCGGCTCTGAGTACGTGTTTGACATCACCACTAAGTAATGTTACTAGAAGCCAGTGACAGCTGTTTCCATGGCTGTTTGTTTTTTGTTTTTTTGTGGGGTGTTTTTGGCGTGTGGCCAGTGGGCCCCAGCCACCTCCTCTGTCTCCCGTGTTCCCATCCCTTCTCTGCTAAGGGGACTGGGACCCAGCCTGGAAGAATCGCCCAGCCCCTACCAATTCTTTGCTGCTTCTAGCAGCCATGATAGCTAACGTTTATTGAGCATTTATGATGTGCTGAGCACTGTATGCAGATTAGCGTATTCAGTCATCTAACCCACTCCATAAACCAGAGATTAATCAAACCCCCTTCACAAAGGAAAAAGTTGATCCTTGGAGGGGATAAATGACTTGCCCAGGGTCATCCAGCTTGTCATTCCACTGCTGAGCCCCTGAACCCAGCCACGTGTCCGCTTTCACAGGGAGCTCTCCCCTGGATCCTCGATGACAGAAAACTCACCCTGAGGACAGTTGCAGCCGCCTGTGCGCACCCCTCACACCACCCTCACACCCCATCAGCCTCCGTGCCCCCCACCACCACCCTCACACCCCACCAGCCTCCGTGCCCCTGAAGGCTGCCGGAATTGCCTTGGGGAGCTCTCTCATGTTGGCAGTTGGTCCCCCCCTTGCCCATCCTGAGTGGCTCCACTCCCCACCACACTGTTCTTGGCCCTGACCCCCATGATTCATCTCCTCATCAGTATCTGTTCACTTTCAACAAGGGCCATAGCTGTCCATTGCCGAGGAACATAACGCTAGGCCGTCCATCCGCGTGAAGCTGGGTGCCAGTAAGAGTATGGGAGAGAACCCAGTGGCCCACGGTATCTCCCACACGCCACAGAAAATTTGACCGTGGCTTGGCTGTAACACAGGACGCGGTAACTGCCTTCCAGACGGTATTGAGTGAGCTCAGTATAAAACCAGAGCTGGACTCTGGTGTGTCGTTTCCCTGCAGAAATGCTTTCATTGACCGAAGAGTTGATGGTTTACAATCAGGTTTTCTCAAAACAGCCCTTTGCACATATGGTGTTCGTCAGGCAAACTGGAGTTATTTGGATTGAAGTCAATTAAAAATTCCTTTTCAAATTCAGTGTTGGAGAAAATTCGGGGTCTGAAAGATGTATTGACATGCTGCCTGTCAGCAAACTCAGGAGGTAGAATCCAGCAGCGTTTCCGTTTGGCTTTTTGCATCAGCCGTCTGAATGCCTGGAGTAAAATTTGAAGCTCACCTAGAGATGCCAATGTAGCCACACATCTATATATGCCCTGATCCCTTTTATTTCATTTTATTTCTTTTTCAAAAAATTGTTTAATGTTTTATTTATTTTTGAGAGAGAGACAGCGCAAGCAGGAGAGGGTCAGAGAAAGAGGGAGACACAGAATCCAAAGCAGGCTCCAGGCTCTGAGCTGTCAGCACAGAGCCCGACGCGGGGCTTGAGCCCACGAACCGCGAGATCATGACCTGAGCTGAAGTCAGATGCTTAACCAACTGAGCCACCCAGGCGCCCCAATTTTTAAAACATATGTTTCTACATCAAAATTTGATGTTGAAAATGTTGGGCATAACATTTTTGTAATTTCACTTTCTGTTCTGATTATTTACAAAAACGAGTTTTCATGCGCAAAACTATTTTAGACTGTGTCAGTGTTTAATTATAATTTGGCAAATTTTCTGACTGAGAAGATAAATAATAGTAGTCTGCATATATTACAATGTTCAGTAAGAAATACATCTGTAATAAGAAAGCTCACATTACGCTATGGTTTTTACCTTATTTTGACCTTATTTCAAAAATGTTTATGCATTTTTGGTTATAAAAAATAAATAAAGTTTTTAAGTATACAGTTAAGTATACATCTTAACCATTTTTAAGTGTACAATTTAGTAGTGTGAAGTACGTCTACATTGTTTTGAACAGATCTCTAGAATGTTTTCATCTTCCCAGAGTGAAACTCTATACCCATTAAATAATGACTTCGGCCCTTTCCTGACCCCCTCAGCCCCGGGTAATCACTGTTTCTATGAATTTGATCATGTACCTAATGCGAGTGGAATCATGTAGTATTTATCCTTTTCTGGCTGGTTTGTTTCACTTCACATAATGTCCTCAAGATTCATCCATGTTCTAGATGTTCTAGGATGGGACAGGATTTCCTTCCTTTTTTTTTTTTTTTTTTTTTTTTTTAATATTAGAGCTGGTCTATTCTTTAAAAAAAAATTTTTTTTAAGCTTATTTATTTATTTTGGAAGAGACACAGCAAGAGTGGGGGAGGGGCCGAGAGAGAGGGAGGGACAGAATCCCAAGCTCCTTGTGGGGCTCGAACTCACGAAACCGTGAGATCCATTCATGACCTGAACCGAAACCAAGAGTCAGACGCTTGACTGACCGAGCCACCCAGGCGCCCCGAGGATTTCCTTCCTTTTTAAGGCTGAATGATATCCCATTGTCTGGCCGTACCTCATTTTGTTTATCCCTTCATTTGCCCCATGGGGGTTTGGGCTGCGTTCACTTTTTGCCGTTCATGAATAGTGACGCTAGGAATCGATGTGCAAATATCTTGTCTACATTCTGCCTTCAGTTCTTTTGGATTCAACCCAGTAGTGGAATTGCTGGAGCGTAGGGTAGTTGTAGGTTTTTTTTTTTTTTTTAATATTTTTATTTATTCCTAGGAGAGAGAGAGACGGCGCCAGCAGGGGAGGGTCAGAGAGAGAGGGAGTCACAGACTGAAACAGGCTCCAGGCTCTGAGCTGGCAGTCAGCACAGAGCCCGACGCGGGGCTCGAACCCATGAACCGCGAGGTCATGACCTAAGTGAAAGTCGGACGCTTAACCGACTAAGCCACCCAGATGCCCCAGGGTAGTTGTAGTTTTAGTTTTTTGAGGAACTTCCATTCTGATCCCCTGAGCAGCTGTGCCGGTCAGTGTGCAGTCCTTCAATTTCTCTCCATATCCTCCCCAACACTTGATATTTTCTATTTTGGTTTGGTTTAGGTTTTTAGTTGCCATCCTACTGGGTGCAATGGGATACTTCTTTGTGGTCTTGATTTGCATTTTCCTGATGATGAGTGATGTTGGCTGTTGGCCGTCTTTTCGTGGGCTTAGTGGCCATTTGTAGATCATCTTTGCAAAAATATCTCTTCAAGTCCTTTGCCCATCTTTTAATCAGGTTATTTGATTTTTGTTGCTGAGCTAATATTCTATATATTAACTCCTTACCGGATACATGAGTTGCAGATATTTTCTCCCCTACCACAGGTTCATTTTTCACTCCTGTTGATTGTATCCTTTCTGGATACAATCTTTCTGGGAAAGAACATTATTATTTTATTATCATTTAAAACTTTTTTTTTTATGTGACCTACTTGCTTTAACCCTTTTATTGAGGTTTAATTGACAAGTAAAAAACTGTATATATGTAATGTCTACAACTTGATGGGCTTGGGGCTAAGTACACATTGATTGTGTCCTTTGATGTGCAAAATGTTTCACATAGTCTGTTTTTGCTTTTGTTGCCTATTTCACATAAGCCTTTTGATTGCATTTTGGTGTCACATCCAGGAAATCATTCCTGAATTCAATGTCATGAAGTTTTTCTCCTGTTTTCTTTTAGGAGTTTTATAGTTTTGGGTCTTAGGTTTAGGTTTTTAATTCATTTTGAATTGGTTTTTGTATATGGTGTTCGGTAAGATTCCACGTTCATTCTTTTGCATGTGGATGTCCAGTTTTCCAGGCCCCATTTGTTAAAGAGACTGTCCCGTCTCCATTTAGGTGGCCTTGGCACTCATGTTAAAACATAAGTCATTTGACCATATATGTGGGGGTTTATCTCTGGGCTCTCTATCTTGCTCCATTGGTCTATGTGGCTGTCTTTATGCCATTATTGATTATTATAGCTGTAATTGACTATTATACTGCACTGTATATTATACACTGTATTGTGTATTGCACTCTGTATTGATTATTATAGCATTATCATATGTTTCAATATCAGGAAGTGTGACCCCCTCCACTTGTGTTCTTTGACTATTGCTTTATACATCACAAAATTAATTTTTCAATTTTTAAATTAAAAACAGGTGGGAAAGTCACCATATTACAATATGGACATATTTTCATAGTCACATGAAAATGGAAGTTAGGCAAATACTGGATATACCTTAGCATTTGAGATAATTTACCTGCTTTTAAATAAAAATTTTTCTTCAACCATACAGATTTGCTACTACAATATCTAATTTCATAAAATAATTGCATCTATCTTGCTCTTTATAAATTTGGTCTGCAAATTTATTCTCCAAACCACTATTTTGTCATAGAAAAAATATATTTTGAAATATATTTACAAATAAACACTGTTTTTTAAAATTTTTCTTTAATGTTTATTTTTTGAGAGAGAGAGACAGAGTATGAGCAAGGGAGAGACAGAGAGAGAGGGAGACACAGAATCTGAAGCAGGCTCCAGGCTCTCAGCTGTCAGCACAGAGCCTGACGCGGGGTTCAAACTCACAAACCGTGAGATCATGACCTGAGCCAAAGCGACACTTAACCGACTGAGCCACCCAGGCTCCCCTAAATAATCACTGTTAATATTTGGTATATAATATGCTTCCAGATTTTTTCAATGCAAATACATAAAGTAAATTATTTTAGCTGCTTTGGTAAAAAAAAAAAAAAAATCTGAAAGGATCTATACCAAAATGTGTTTGTACAAAATGGAATTATGTTATTCACCTTTCTTTTTTTTTAACCTACTGATACATATACTAGATCTACGTCATTGTTTCTTCAAGGCCACTTTATATTCCATTGCCTTGGGATGACCATGGTTAGTCATATCTACTGCTTGTATGCTGAAAGTGTGCCTTGCTGGGTTTTTTTTTCCTTTTATAAATAACACCATGATTACATTGTTAATACAGCGTCACCCCCTTGATTGTATCTTTAGGATAAATTTCAAAAAAATGAACTTACTGGTTAAAGGATATATAAACTATTTTCTGGGTTCTCATGGCATGTTGCTACGCTGCCCTTGTACAAGTGGCCTTTTATAATGCCACTGGCATCCAGACACATGCCTATTTTGTCTGCGCTCACTAGAGTTCTAAGTAAAAATGGTACATTGTCATTGCAACTTGCATTTACTTGATTAGTTTAATGAGGTTAAACGTTTTAATGTTAAAAATTTTTTTAATTTAATTGCATCGTGCTTTTCCGTTTTCACTGAAATTTTTAAATTGTGGAATGTTCTTTGGGAATTAACGTTTTTGCCTGTTTCTATTACAGACAATACTGTGATTAGGACCATTTTTCAGGTTTCTTTTGCCCGTTAACTATGTTGATGGTGCTTTATTTAGTTTTGCTCTTCAACTGTCTTTAATATTGTGTGCGCGTGTGTATGCGTGCGCATCTGGATGTGTGTATGCGTTTGTGCATGTGTGTGTGGTAAAAGCTGTTATCTCTTCCATTCCAACTCCTGAATTTCTTGTCATGCCTAGAAAAATAACCCCGTATGAAAATTACATAAGTATCTCCCTACATTTTTCCATTGCTTTTGTAGTTTGCTTGGCTTTTCTGGTCTCTGAATTCCAGGTGTTTAAAAACTAGCACTTGATTTACGAGGGGTTTTGTCGCTTAACTTACAACAGAATTGCCAAAGACCACTGATTTCCTATTCCCTCCCCAGACCACCATCTCAGTGTGGATGGGCTGAGTAGAATTTACAAAGTCATATTTAGGAGAACTGATATTTCTTACATGTTCACTGCCTCTAAGGATGTGTCTAAGCCACTGCTGTATTTAAGCCTTTGAGTTGCTTTTTAAAAAAAGTAGAACTGGTACTTTATAAATTCTTGTGGATCTGTTAGCTGCGGCTTTGAGCGTAGAAGGAAGAGCTAACGAGGATTGTTTTCCTTTCTCTTCTAGATTTTATAGGAAGACAAAACTCGTCGGTTTTCAGGACATGGAGTGTGTACCTTGCGGAGACCCTCCTCCTCCTTATGAGCCGCACTGTGAGTGAACTCCAAAGGCTGTTAGAAACCTTTCTGTGGTTAGCAGACGGGGCACAGTCTCTCTCTGTGCTGGGGCTCGTCATGTGCATTCTTTTATCAAGCTTCCGGCAAGATCTGAAGTTCTTTTGTTGTGTGCCCCAGTCAGCCAACTGTGTCCCTTGACGTGACTCCCAGAGTGAAATACAGACATGTTGCTGCCGCTTCTTTCATTCAGACTCTTATCTTTCATTTTAGATACAGAACTCAGGCGACTCCAATTAACTAGGTGATCCAAACCCTAATGCGTAACCTTTGCCTTGGCCCCAAGAATTCCTGTGTTTCCCCTTCTTAGTCCCCAGGCACGGTCATGTGGTGGCTTCCCTGCCTTTCCAGAAACATTCCTCTCCATGAATCACCTGCTCTCGTTAACATATCATCAGATTAAATATCGCCTCCCTTCATTCACTCCTTCATTCTTCTCATTTCACAAATAGGAAGAGAGAAGCCGTTGCATGGCAGAAATACAACTCTCAGTGGGAACAGTTTGCCTTTTCTTCTTTGAATTAACACTGATCTTTTTTTTTTTTTTTAAATCAGATATCTCCTTTGGATAGAAAAGGTATTTGTTACACAAGTTCTCAATTTGCATTGATCTTGAATAGGAAGGAGGGTGGCTTCTCACTTTTCTTAATCCCACATACAGATCTGGCCGATGGGACCCCCCAGGTGCTGGGCCAGGAAGGAAATCAGCAGGTGGGCTCGGGGGTGCCCAGGGCCGTCTTTGCTGAGCAGGGCTCTCCGTGAGCTGTGTTTCGGGTCCACAGGCGCCAGTGTGCAGCAGGTAGGGTATGAGAGGTGCTTGATCCCGTGCAGAGTCGCTCCTGCCTTTCTGGGGAGCGTGGCGAATGTATATGTTTGGGGTTCTGCTTGGACGTGTTCTCGCTTCTTTCTGTGACAAAAGCATCCTCTGAACTAACTGAAAGCGACTGTGTTATTGACAAGGCCACAAGGTCTTTGTGTTTTCAAGAATATCATGTAATTTGCAATCCATATTATGGTCCTGTACCAAAATGCACTACTTTCTATTCTTCATCTAATGTAGTAGAAAGGCACAAAAAAAAAAAAATTCTAAGCTTTATAGAAATGTGTATTGACCCTCTTTTTTCTTTTTAATGTTTTATTATTTATTTCTGAGAGAGAGAGACAGCGTGAGCAGGGGAGGGCCAGAGAGAGAGGGAGATACAGAATCCAAAGCAGCCTCCAGGCTCTGAGCTGGCTGTCAGCACAGAGCCCAGTGCGGGGCTCAAACCCACGAACCGTGAAATCATGACCTGAGCTGAAGTCGGATGCTTAACCGACTGAGCCACCTAGGAGCCCCTTGACCCTCTTTTTTATAATATGCTAACATTTGCCAGATAATTCGTTGCATTTAACAAACGCAGTATTGACTGTTACGTTTCAGCCATAATAGGGAAACTGTTGTTTCCCTTAACTTTCCCGCTGTCCTATGATCAGCCTAAATTTATCAATGAGGACCCCAGGGCCAGAAAGGTGAATCACTTTCCGTTTTGGCTGGGAAGTGGCGGAGACACACAGACAGACCCTGGTCTGTCTAGTGCCAAACATTGTGTTCTTAACCACCACACTCTTCTGTCTCCCGAAGCAAAGCAAACATGTAATCTACTACATGTTGGCTTTTTGTTTGCTTTAATATTCATCATTAAACAAAAACTTTAAAGATCAACCGTAGGGGAGATAGATACTTTATGCTACACAGCCCGTAAAAGGACATGCCATGTTGCCAATTAAAACAGGGCAGCGACCTGGCCATGCCTGAGGGTCAGCTCAGCCGTCATTTTGCCCGGAAGGCAAAGTAAGATCATGTACTTGATCCCAAACTACCATTATAAGATTTAGTAAAGTAACTGCTATTGCCTAGTTTAGAGCTGGAATGTACTAGGGTTATTTTTTCTCTTTAATTTACTCAGTTTAAATTGAGTACGATCTGGTCATAAGTCTGAGGCACTGGAATTTTTTGCCTCTGGGGATCTGGCTAAGCTCGGACATCATAAATTAGTCTTGAAACCTAGTTTTCACATTTAACTTCTAATGTGTTGTAAAGCCCTGAGTAAGGTACAATTTGAAAAGAAAATTAACGAGTTTAGTTTATGTGTACAGATTTATTTCTCCATAAATGCAACTTTTTAGAAAGCAAAGCAAAACAAATTACTTTTCTGAGTGGGAAATGCTGTGTGCAAAGTAATAGGCTTTCAAATCATGGAACAAGTGTCTGGTGGTCTTTCATGAGTGCTAATCCTTATCTCTGCAAAGGAAGGCTTGCTGCCTTTGGCATAGTTCTTGGGAATCATTCCAGGGCACACACAACTCATCTCCTCAAAAGAGATCTTGAAGTCTTCTGGGGGGAGTTATGTAAGGTACCTTGTGTTTTCATTTCTTCTACTTTAAGGATTTCAACTCATCCACAAAGAACTACTTCTGCAGTGATTTCTTTCCTGCTGAGGAGTTCCTGTTTTATTTAGACTCCGCTGTAAGGAAGTGACCCCACTCAGGCTGCCTCAAATCATGGGGTTTGTTTTGAGGATGTACATGGTAGTGAGAGGCCAGCACGTCTCTGAACTTGGGGACAGCCCTTACTTGGGACCTGGGGCAGTGCTGGAGTCTGGGAGTGGTCACCCGCCCTGCAGCGGGAGGCTCTGAGTCCCGCGCTGGGTTCTGGTCAGCACCACGGTCGCTCTCTGAGCCTGCGGGGACGCTGTTTATGTTTCCTCATTTCCCCCCATGCTTCCAAGGGACCGCCTTGGTCTGTACTTCCGGGTCATGCTTCTGAAGGAGAGAATCTGATTGGCCAAGAGACATGTCATCGTCCTGTAGGGCAGAGCCTTTTTCATTTGACTGTTGAGCAAGTATTTGAGTGCCTCCCTGGGGCCAGGCACACGATGATGGCTAAGTAGACCCCAACTCTTTTCTTCTTGGAGCTTATGGTATAGTAGGGGAGTTGTCAAATAACTACCCCAAATTAAACAGTGTTCAGATACTATCCACATGGATGCAAAAGTGTGATCAGCCCGTCCTGTGCCCGGACGGATCTGTGGTACTCTAAGAATGAGTAGTGGATAATGATGTAGGAACATTAGGGGAGACTTCACAGAACCATGACTTTCAAGCTGTGATCTAAAGGGCCAGTTAGAGGAGTATGAGCCAGAAAGGGAGACTAAACAGGAGGCCAGGGAAAGCCGAGGAGGCCAGGAGAGTACGTGGAGCGTCCTGCTGCCATCGGTCGCTGTGTGCAGGTCGAGTCAGTTGACACTGGAAATGCGAAATGTCCTTTGGACGTAGAACCCTGGAGGTCTGTGATGACAGCGACAAGCACCATCTTAGTGAGTGATGGAAATGCAACCAGATTATAGTGAAACGACAAGTTAACGTAAGGGGAGGAATAGAGACGATTATGGACAATTGTCCAGAAGTTTGCCTGTGAAGGTGACCCGGGAATATGCAGGCAATGACGGGTTTTGTTTGGTTTCATTCCTTAGGTGAGAGACACGTTTGCTTGTTTGCAGGATGAAGGGAAAGGTCAAGAGAGGCTGACTGTCTTATATGAGAGAACACTGGAATGATCGGTCACGTAAGGTCTGCTGCAAAAGGACCCTGAAGCATAATTGTCGGGTCGCCCTTCTCTAGAAGGAGGGAGTGCTCCCTGCTGTAAGGAGAGAAGGGAGCGTGGATCCAGTGAACATGGACTTCTGCGGTTGGTGGCGGGGGGCTCATCGACTTGGCTTCTGTGTGTGTGGAGTCAGAGACACTGTTTTCTGCCAAGTTGGGCTGGAGCCAAGGAACTGAGAGGCTGGAAAAGCACAGGTCTTTGAAGTTCTCATTACAGAGTGTGGGAGGGACGTTGATTTGAGAAAATAGTGGGTTCTCTTGAGGACCAAGAGTCCAGATGAAGTCTGTGGTCATAGCAGGGCATTGTGTGCTTCACGTATGGTGTCCGAAGACACTTGTGCTGCAGGGGTGACTCAGGCCACCCCTGCAGGTGCCCAGCACAGATGTAAGTTGTGCCCTAAATGTGTAACTTATAACGAGTCACAAACAAGTCATGAAAATACGGTCTGTATTAGTAACACAAGAATAGTTTTAAATAAATCTCAACACATTTTCTTACGTTGATGTAATACCTGAACATACCAAAGTAGCGCCTTAACAGAAACACAAGACTGAAAACTTCCCACATTTCTGTCAACTCTTCAGGGGGCCACATACCACATTTTCTTTATCCGTTCATCCATCGATGGACACTTAAGTCGTTTCATGCTGTGGCTCTCATAAATAATGCCACAGTGAACATGGGGTGCAGACAGCTTTTTGACTTAGTGTTTTCATTTTCTTCAGATAAATACCCAGCAGTGGAATTGCTGAGTCATACAGTAGTCCTATTTTTAATTTTTTTGGGAACCTCCATACTGTTTTCCACAAACTGGCTGCACCAGTTTGCATTCCCACCAGCTGTGCCAAGGGTTCCCTTTTCTCCACATCCTTGCCAATGTTTGTTATTTTTTGTCTCTCTGTTAATAGCCATTCTAACAAGTGTGAGGTGATATCTCATTGTGATTTTGATGGTGAGTGATGTTGAGTTCCTGTACCTGTTCATGAGCGATGATGAGTTCATGTACCTGTTGGCCTTCTGTATGTCTTCTTTGGAAAAGGTCTATTCAGACCCCTTACCCATTTTTATTCAGGTTTCTTTCTGCTCTTGAGTTGTATGAGTTCTTTATATATGTTGGATATTAGCCCCTTATCAGAGAAATGATTTGTGAGTATCTTCTCCCATTCAGTAGGTTGCTTTTTCATTTTGTTGACGGTTTCCTTTGGTGTGCAGAAGCTTTTTTAGTGTGATATAGACCCGCTCGTTTGTTTTTGCTTTTGTTGCCATTGCTTTTGGTGTCAGATCCCCAAAATCATCACCACAAACCAATATCAAGGAGTTTATCACCTATTTTTTT